AGTTCGGCACTGGTGCTTGAGGATAAATCGGGATGAGTTTAGAAGCATTTGAGATTGATTTGAGAGATATGGAGGTCATCGGGAGGTTTACGATGAAGATTTGATGACAAAAGAGCTCTAGAATTGGTTATGAGATCAAAAGAAGATGAATGAAGCTTGAAAATGACGATCAGGATGATCTTCTATCAATCGTTCAAGCATATCTCTTTGTAGAAACAACTAATGGACATGATTCAAGTTTTATATGAAAGACAACTTCAAGGGCTACAAATCATATGAAGATACCAATACAAGAATAGGAGAGCAAGAAGGTGAAAACAGATGATGAAGTCAGATGATCTGTGCTACGATTTCAGAATGACACCTTCCACCGTTTTGATCATATCTCTTAATTGGATGATTCAAATCACATTCGGAAAATTGGGGTGGATAGAGGGATGATCTCTTAGTCAAATGATCTCTGCTACAATCTCTGCTATTCTTCCCAATTCTATTGACTTCATTATCTACAACTTTCATGAAGGAAGTTTTGTCAAACTCGGACTAGAGAAAAGGCTGAAGAACACGGACGCACGACCGTGCGTCTGGGACGAACGATCGTGCGTAAGAGCCAAAACCGTGGAGGAGCTACTGCCTGCTACGCATGATCGTGCGTAGCCAGGGACGCACGATCGTGCGTAGCCCTGAGTTTCGCGTGGAAATTTCCCACATCGACCAGAATTGTGATTTCCCCCCTCTTTTCTGTAAATAAGGCCTTCCTAACCCTTAGGGGTCACGAACATTACGGAGAGACCTAGGGACGAATTCATTTATTGTTTTCCGCTATTTTACTCAAAGACCCTGGGATTATTTGTAAGTTAATCTTTTTAATTAATTAATGACAATTTATTCTATTCTTCCCAATTCTATTGATTCTTCAATTATGAATTGTGAGTAGCTTAATTAGGGATTTGGGATTGATGAATGAGTTAATTACGATGTATGGCTAGATTCTTGATGGTTTAATTGCATGAATGTCGTTTTATTTGTGTTTGAATAATTTAATTGATATCTTTTGTAACCTCGAACCGCGGCTAGAATTACAATTGCTTGTAGAATAAATTAAGAGAGATCTAGTTTATTCTAGGACACATTCACACACACTTAATCGTTTGCTAAGAGATTAGTAGCGATTAAGGGGCCGTAAGCTCGCTCGTCTTGGCAATAATTTAGGATCCTGTCGCTTGAGAGACCAGCCTAGTCCCCTAAATTATTGTACTCTATGCCGCGAGAGCGGTAAGAACTTAGTATTGATTAGCTAGGCTCAATTAAATTAAATTCATGTAATTAGGCCTGATCTGCCAGAAATCTGATTACCCTGGAATCAATCCATGTTCCCTTTGTCGTTAATTAAGATGAACCCAAATCTTTATTTTTATTCGCTCATTCGCATTAGTTTAATTTCTATTCGACCAATCAATCTCGCACGACGCATTTATTTTATTTTATTTTTAGTCGCTGAATTTAGTTAATCTTTAATTCCCTTTTGTCCGTCCCTGTGGAGACGATACTCGTACTTTCACCACTATTCTACTATTAATTTAAGTGCGAGAAAACTCACATCACCTAGCCCATCTGAAGATTGTCTCGGTGTAGCCACCGCCGATCAAGATGAATCTGAGGATGCATGCGGGTGGACATCAACGGAAACGAATCCGGGGTGGGCATTAAGAAAGAGGTATGGCTCCTAGTTCGATGACAGTTCTCAATTGGTGGAAAAAGTCGAGGAGGTGAACTCCTTTGATTGCTTTTTTCCAAATCCATATGCTGACATATTTCGGGACTCTCCATAGGGGAAGTATCTTGGATGCTTTTACTCTATGAATTACCCCCCTTTTGTTTTAATAGCTCATCCGAACGGTGCAGCAATGTGGGAAGGATGGGGGTAGAGGTGGGTAAAAATACCGAAAAATCGGTATACCGCACTTATCGTAACGGAAAATACCGGAAAATACCGTAATACTGGTATACCGTCATTTTCGGTACGGTATAATACTGTACCGATTTATTTCGATACGGTAACGGTAAATGTTTTCAAATACCGCGGTATACCGGTATAATACCGTACCGACTTCATACCCAACAATTACTTTAAATCGAAAATATTGTAAAAGTCCATTACAATTTTGAAGTCATAAATTAATACTTAGGTTGGTTGCACATACTAAAATACAAAAAGAAAGGTCCAATTCCCCAAACCCGCTATAAGCTTTTAGCTTAGGCTTCTACTACGTAACTTTCAAACAAATAAGCATAATGACTAATGAGTAATGTACTAATGTTCAAAAACTAGTCCATCATGTTCCATGAGCTTGTGAGTCACGATGGCTGAGCCGCTGAGTAGCTGACGAGTGAAGAGGGATACACATATGTGAAAAATGTATCTACATAGGGATCTACTTAGTCGAGGCACACAATTTTGTCTGAAAGTCTATTTCAAATATATTTTTTTTAAATTAAAAAATGACTAAATACACAATATATATCATATTAGGGATAGATGATTTTGTATCATGTTGTTTGAATAATTTTATTTATTTTTATATTCATTTAATTATATCTATATCGTTCAAGTTATTTTATGAGAATGTGTTATTTTTTAATATGTGACATGTTTAACTGCTTAAATATACTAATGATAATTATTATTCAATATTGAATATGACATCAATAGATTATTAATTGTATTTTGTAACATTTTAATACAACAACATCCAAGCCTTAGTCCCAAAAGATATTGGGGTCGGTTAACATGAATCGATACATGATATCACCACCAAAAGGAAATGAAAGAAAATAAAGATAAAAAGATAAGCTATTATAAAAAAGAAGATATAAAAAGAGATGAGTATACATAAAAATGATAAGATAAAAGGATAAAAATAATGTTTATATATATAAGGATAAAAGGATAACAAAACAAGGAAAAACAGATGAGAGGAAAAGATGACACGAGATCACTCATCCACACGAATACCCGCCCTCCACTTTGTTCTCTCTAAAGTCATACCATCATCCAACCCAAGAAGAAGCATATCCCTTTGGACTCCCCTGACCCACGTTTGTTTGAGCCTTCCTCTCCCTCTCTTCTCTGTCTCTTCTCCACACATCTCAACTCGTCTAACTGGTGCATCACTCGATCTTCTATACACATGACCAAACCATCGTAGGCGCGACTCACACATCTTGTCTTCAATAGGCGCTATTCCCACCCTTTGTCTAATTGTCTCATTCCTCACTCGGTCCTTCCTAGTATGCCCACACATCCACCGAAGCATGCGCATCTCTGCCACACTCATCTTTTGAATGTGACATTGTTTCACCGTCCAACACTTTACGCCATACAGTAATGCAAGCCTAATTGATGTCCTATAAAATTTACCATTCAGTTTAGTCGGCATACCACGATCACATAGAAATCCTGACGCACTCTTCCACTTCATCCACCTTGTTCTGATTCTATAGGATACATCTCCATCTAACTCACCGTCCTTCTTAATTATGGAGCTCAAGTAACGGAACATATAGCTAACCGGTATCTCCTTACTATCTAGAGTAATTCCGCTATCACCACTGCTTCTACCTCCATCAAACTTGCACTTCATGTACTTTGTCTTGCTCCGACTTAGTCTGAAACCCTTGTTCTCCAATATTTATCGTCATACTTCCAGCTTTGCTTTAAGACCTGATTACGTCTCATCAACCAATACAATATCGTCGGCAAACATCATGCACCATGGTATATCGTCTTGAATTGACTTCGTAAGTTCATCCATGACTATGGCAAATAAGAAAGGGCTCAAAGCCGATCCTTGGTGCACTCCGATAGTAATAGGGAACTCCTCAGTCCTCCCTACACTAGTACGGACACTTGTGATACAATCCTCGTACATATCCATGATAATGCTGATATACTTGCATGATATGCCTTTTCTAGTTAAGGCCCACCAAAGAACTTCTCGAGGTACCATATCAATAATGGATTAAATATATCGCTAGTAACACCGATTTAGTATATTTTGTTAGTGTATGATAATTTGTTGTATTGTGAGACATGCACGATAATTTACTGATACTGTACCGATACCGAACCGAAATTTCGGTATAACGAAATACGGTATACCGAAACTTCGTTAAGGTAACATTGTATAAATGTTGTATACCGAAAGTTTTGGTACGGTAAAGGTATGAGAGAAAATATTAGGTATACCGTACCGAACCACCCCTAGATGAGGGTAGTTTAGGAAAGTCAACTACATTCAAACTTTTGCATAAAAATGTGTGAGGGTCAAACTGTGACCATCTTTGCGGGACGGAGGGAGTACAAGTATTATTTAGGGCATCCTCATCCATAGATTATTTTTGGGATCATTTTGATGATGTGGAGGATTTTTTTTGGATCATGGATGAGGAGTTGAGATTATTTTATGAGATTATTTGATAAAATAATCTGGTATCAAATTCTAAAGCTGGATTATTTTGAGATTATTCACAACTTTTAGGTTCCTATTCCTATTTTCTAGGCAACTAATAATAACTAGTTTTGTAAAAAAATCTAGGTAAGTTAAGATCATGGACGAGGAGAAAGTGTTAGGTTTTTGGTGATTATTTGAGATTACCTTATGTAGAAGTGATATGGTAACAAAAAACCATAAAAACCCGTAAACTTGAGTATCATGAATGCAAATGCTGTTAGACGATATATTAGAGTAAAAAGTAAAAACCCGAATATCTTTTAAGCTGTCCAAACTCATTTTGACGGAGGACGTTGGGACGTTTTGGAGTATTTATTCCTTCACCGGGAAAGTACAAATATTAAATCAATATGTTAAATCAAGTTACAAAATCATCGTCCAAACTCAAAAAGTAAAAGTTATTTTGTGACGTGAAAAAGAGAAATGGAAGTACAAAGTAGTGAGGACCACACCGATATAAGTTGCCTTTTTTATTCCTCAATGCCTTCTCATCTCAGCAATATATCAATCATATACTGTATTTAATTAATTAATACTTTCACTCCCATCTTCAATTCCTCTCTGTCTAAACACTATCCAGAACTCTCCAATTTGCAGGAAAGAAGAAGAGATGGCGCCGCCGTGTCCTTCTCCGATCGCCGTCGTCTTAGCCGTCTTCGTTCTTGGCCAGCTTTCCGGATTTGCAGATGCATACAAGAATTATACTGTGGGCGGTTATTTGGGCTGGACCGACAACGGTTCTGTTGATTACCAGAAATGGGCCTCCAATAACACTTTCTCGCTCGGCGATTTCCTAAGTACCTTCTCTTAATTATTACTTTACTTTTTTACTGTCTTTTTGTAAGATCAGAAAATTAGATTGTTATTAAACGGTCAGGATCATCTCGTCCTTCCTTATGATTAACGCAACCAAATCCAACGGAGCCTCCAGATCTGTTCTTTTGATCAAAACAAATAAAAAGGAAGGGATAAAGGTCAGACAGGACCTCAAACTTGAAAAAAAATGTCAAATAAGGTCATATTTAGGATGCTCTGTCTGGCCGACGCCATTTGAGGCGATACAGTTATATAAGCATCCTAAATAAGAACTGAAAATTGATAATTGAAATACCGTCCATATATTTTTTATTATTAAAAGCTAGAAAATGATTTTTTTTAATCCCATTATCTGATAGATAGATTCATTTCCTTTCATCTAAAACTTTTTATTTGGTATTCGATTTTTTTATATTATTTCATGGACCTATATTTTAGCGCACAAGGTACCAAATGACTTCAATTTTTTAACTTTTATTTATTTGTTCATTTAATTTTCATAGTTTTTTCTAAATTTGTGGCCAGATCTAATAAATTGGATGTGATCATGAGGCTCACTAAAAGTAGAAATAATGATGGAATATTTGCTTTTTACCTCTTATATATTCATATACTTTAATAACTAGTCAAACTCAATTAGGGAAAGGTGGGTACCATTTTAAGGCAATCAGTGCTTTGCTACACTTACTTTCACTTAGATTTTGTTTCTATAAGTAGTAACTACCGATCATTAATTAATTAATGATTTAACAGTGAATTAGTGAATTAGATTTTATATATTTAAAAAAGTGTAAACCGAATACGGAGTATACATAAATACGGCTTAAATATGTTGTTAATTTCTATATGTTCCTGTTTTTTATCTCTCCCAAAGAATATTTTATATTTTTATCCTGTGATTTACATTTTCTGTTTAGTACTTGTCTAACTCGGGACAATATCAATTTAGAAAAATATTGATATCATCAGTTGCACAATTCTGCTCTAATTCTGCTCAAAAGTCAAAACTTCTAACTTCATTTTGATCACTTTCTAGAGACTAATATTGAAGTTAAAACGAAGTGAATCTAATTAAATTTGGAATCACATGTCAAAGAAAGTTAGAAAAACTATTATTTGGCGTTTTTGGTAAGATCGACATAAATTATAAGGATGAAATTCACAAAATAAATTTTCAGACATAAAACAAAGAACGTTATTTTTAGGAAAATTGCCCTAAATAAGAGTAAGCAAGTTCTGAAATTCTGAAATTTGTAGTACTATTTTTCTCTTCCTCATTAGACATGATTGGAAAATAAATATTGTCATGTTGAATGCCTAATAGTGCAATTATTTGTTAGTGATAACTATAAAATGACATAAATACTACTCCCTCTGTCCCGATATAATTGTTCTGCTTTCCTTTTCGGTCCGTCCCGAAATAATTGTCCTACTTTAAAACTTTCTTTATTTGGTAAACAAATCTATACGAAACAGTGTCAAACATTGTAAAACAGTGTCAAACAGTGTCGCTACAGTGTCAAACAATGTCGCCACAGTACCAAACAGTGTCGCTATAGTGTCAAACAATGTCGCTACAGTGTGAAATCAACTTCATTTTCTTAATATGTGTGAAGGTCAAAACAAGACGCTTAATTCGAAACGGAGTGAGTATCATGTTACTTTTATTTCTTGAATAAAAGCATACTACTCTCATTTTGGAATTCTAAAACCTCTTTACAAACCTCTAAATACTACTACAGTCTACAGCCTTCACAATTACGCAACTCCGCCTGTCTCTAACTGTTGGTCCCGGTTATACTGGATACAGTCTAGAGGGGGGGGGGGTGAATAGACTGTATTGGTTTTTAGCTTTTTAAACTAAGTACCAGGTTTACAGAATAGCCTGTTCTGTTGAAGGAACAGACTGGCAGCGGATGAGGTTCTGGTAGGGAGTTCTGTTAGCCTCAGAGGAGCAAAGGCAGTAGGCCTTCTGTTAACTCGTAGAACAAGTTCTGCTGAACACAGATACCAAGTTCAAGGAGTTATACAGTTCTAACTAAATGCAAGTATTAAAAGCAGTAAGTAAACGACACCAGGGATTTTTATAGTGGTTCAAGGAACAACTCGTTCCTCTAATCCACTGTTCCACTAAGCTGTAAAAACTGCCGTTTACAAAGCCTTAGTCCTAGCACTTAAGAAGCACTCCACGTCTTCTTTAAGCCTAGATGTGTCCTGGGATGCTCTGCCTGGCTTCCTTTAACACTGGTCCTTTCACTGAGTCTCCTTGAAGTATCACCACTTCACTACTCCAGTTATTCGGACGTCCTTCTTGTAGTAAGTAGAGTTTCTGTTGAAACAGGGGTTCCTCCAACTAGCTTCGTCACAAAAGATTTGTATGTAATGAGCTTGAAGAGTTGAAGAACACTTGGAACTTTGCTTGAGTTGGAAAGAGTATTTTTCCAACTTCTGCCTTCTCTTGTAGAGGATAGTGAGTTTGAATCTCAAGGAGGCTTTTGCTTTTCAGAGTTTGAATATCTTGCTTGTAGCAATGTAATAGCAAAGTTGAATCAAGGTTGCAAAAGTAGTCCGGTTGTTCTTCGTAGTGTATCTTTTATACTGAGGTTGTCTTCCCGTTGGAGGAGTAGGAGGACAACTGCATTTAATGCGCGAGCAGTTGACTTGACCAGTAGGACCCGGTAAAGTTGGCGGGTTACTATTTTGGGATAAAGTAATCCTGACAAAGCGGCCAATCATCTGCAATTACTCCACGGAGCATGGGGAGCATTAAATGAGCATTTAATGCGAGCACTGTAGCTTTTCCGTTTCATACTCCTAGCCGTTGAAGGAATCTTTATGTTGACTTCCCGGCTTTGTGGATTTCTTCCAAGTGTCAGACCTTCTGGTGTTTTTAACAGAGAACTGAATCAGAGAAGATCATGAGCACTTCTGTTGTTGGTAGCTTACAGAGAACCAGGAGGCTTTCTGTCACGCTAATGGGTAACAGAGACCCTGACGTATTCTGTTCCTAGACAGAGAACCAAGATCTTCTGTCTGGAGGACTTCTGGTAGAGAGGCCTTCTGGTGGTCGAATATGCTAAGATCTTTACAAGGGAAAATTCTAATACATAATTTCTAAAGGGGTACTCTACAGTCCTAATTAATATAGCATCATCAAAATCTAAATACAATAATTCCTTACAATTTCCCCCCTTTTGATGATGCCAAAACCCTTTAACTATCATGGTCCAAATATAGATTCTGTTGTTGAGTAGAGGTCATCTTCTGCTTCATTTCATCAAATTGTATAGCAGTCATCACCTGAGAACCTCCCATTCTCCATTCTTTAAAGCTTAGAGCTCTCTTTTTCTTGGATCCTTTCTTCAGTGGGGATGGAGGTCTAGGAATACCAGCTAGCCTTTTCTTCTGAAGAGCAGCCTCAAAGTAAGGTGTGGGATCCACACTTGGTTCAACAGATGTTGAGGTTCTGGTGGTCTTGGGTTTTGGTATATGAGGGCCTTCTTCCCCCTTTTTGGCATCATCTAGATCACCAAGCAGAAGAGAGAGCTTCTGGAATTCTGAGGCCTGAGTAGAGGCAATCTGTTCCAGGGTTTCTGGTAAGGTCTGAGTCACAGATGTGAGACCTTCAATAAGCCCATGTTGCTTCTGGAGTGCAGATAGGATATCTTTATTACTGGCTTCTAAGAGAACCATCTTCTGGTATCTCTCTTTGTCTTGGGCAAAAAGAGTCCTGGCTTGATCACGATGGACTTTGCACAGTTCCTCGATGTCCAGTAGCTGTTCCTTTGTCTTGCTATCAGCCCATTGAAGTTCCTCAATATTGGAAGAGATTGTTTCAATAGCTTGTCCCTGAGCTATCAGAGTCTGATGAAATGTGAAGAGGGTCTTATGGATACCTTCCACTTCCCTTGACAGTGTATCTGTTTTAGCCGTTGAGGAGGCCATGAAGTCGTTGAGAGATGTTGTCAGATGCTCAAAGCGGTCTGAGATAAACTGCATCCCAGAGTTGAGATTATCATTCACATGAGCAAGGTGTCCATAATGCTTGTCATTGATCTGTATCAACTTATTCATGCCATGGAGGAGTTGGCCACCAAAGTCTTCAGCTGCTTCAACGAATTTGTTGAAGGGAATTTGGTTCTCTTGTTCAACAGATGGAGGCATCTCTAGACCTCTTGACTTAGGCACAGGAGGCCTTGTGGGTTGTTTTTCACTCTGAGGAGGTGTCTTCTTCCTCTTGGAAGTTTCATCAGCAGCAATGGAGGATGTAAGAAATCCATCATTGTCACTGGAAGAGGAGGGCACCCTGAAGATAGGTTTTCTGATGGGGGTGGAAGCCACAGAGTGTTGAGGGGAGATAGGTGTGGCTGCATCTTGTGGTGTAGGCTGTGGAGAAGCAGTTCTGGATGTCTTGATGGAGGGGTTTTGATGTTCTGAGGGAGCATTCTGTTGTTGTGGAGGAGAGGGTGGAGGTGATGGTGATCTGGATCGGATTGAGGGTTGGGATTTGCAGGGAGATGGATTTTTGGTTTTTGGCGAGGAGGTTTTCTGTTGGGGTGAAGTTGTAGAGGAGAAGATCTGTTGGTGTTGATAAGGGATAATTTGTCCTTGAGGGGATGGGGATTTGGATTTTGAGGTTTTCTGGGGTGTAGAGGTTTTCTGTGGAGAAGAGGGTTTCTGAGGAGTTGAGGAGGTGTTCTGTTTAGAGATGGTTTTCTGTGAGGGTGAGAGGGATTTCTGTTGAGATTGGGGTGAAGTGACTTTAGGAGAGGGAGGGGGAGAAGGAATGATTGTGGGAATTACCTCTAGAACAGTTTCAGTGAACAGAGAGTCTCTCCATTCTTTGATAAGTTTTTCCATGACCAGAGGTAGGTCATTTGCAGTAGAGGGTTCACCTTCTCCATGTGCACTGTGTCGAAACTTGATCATTGACTCCTTCCTCTTCTTCTCAACTAGCCAAGCATCAAATGCGTCCATCTCA